TTCCGGGTGATTTTGTCGACGTCTTTTCCCGTCGCCAACCAGCCGATGTCGTCAGCGTACGAGGATGACCTCCACCTCAGTCGAGAACAACAAAAACTTCATAAAATTTTACCCTATTACTTGTCATAACAACAAGACTCCTTGGCGCAACGGTAGCGCGTTCGACTCCAGATCGAAAGGTTATCCGTTCAAATCGGGTAGGGGTCAATTACTTTTTATTTTTCCCCAGTCCCCATTCAGTATCGGTCACGATGGCATGAACAGTAGACGATTGCTGACTGGGAGCAACCCTTTCCTCTGCAGAGACTTTTCGAAGGAGAAATGGAGGATATTGCCATCGTCATAGATGGTGAACATGGTCTTAGAAGTGATGGATCGGATAAAGATGGTAGTTGAAATCGTTGTCCCATGGACATCTAAATGAAAATTGATGCAATTCATGGGTTCTCGGCAGTTTGTAGACATCACTAGCCTCACTGGAAATCACCATGATCCCATGAAGAACGAGATATTTCGGACCAAAAACGTAAAATTCATTTCCGCGTAACCCAATACACACATGTAAAACCACAGGAAGACCAAAAAAAGATCAGCGACAATCCAATAAGCAATCCAATCCATAACAAAAAACAAGAGACCCAGTATTGCAAACCAATAAAAAACAGAAAAGCAAGACAAGACAACAAAAACGAGAAAAAAAAAACATGAAGAAACAAAAACCAACAATATCCATACAAGCACGCAATATCAGAACCAAAAACAAAAACAAAAACCATAAGCAGTAAACGATCGATGATAAATGCCACCGTTGACGCCGCCCGCCTGTCCACCGCACCCTAGAACAAAAAATGACAGTCAAAGACACCAAAAAAAAGAAATAACAACTATCAAGGAAGAAAGAAAGCAAATAGTGACATTCATAGATCTTCATCCATGCCGTCATCACTTATCCGAAACCTCGCGCACACACGAGAGCCCCAGAAATCTCATCATTTGTCGTTCATGAATTCAGTCATGCCAGGCCTAATTCACCTCAACCCAGCCCAAAGAGATGTATAGAGAAATGTATCGTCGTTCGTTCCTTTCATAACAGGTTCGTAAAGTCGTTCGCGTGGTTATGCACTTTACAAATATCGTGCAGTCGATATTTAACAAAATCAAGAGTGTCGCAAGGGTGATAGCGCGGTTGTTCCACTCGCCCGCTCAAAACTGGGGCCCACTTCATGAATACTCGGCCCTATAGGAAGGTGTCGAGTTCTCGTGTGGATGTATAGAGAAGGGTGGCGAGGTGGTATGTACAAGATTGTACTTTCGTCAATTTCGTCTAGTTGGTAAAAAAAAATCGTTCAACTTAAGTTTAACCTTTATATGAGTTTAGCAGCACCGGTCGCCACCGATACAAGAGCATCTAACCGGCTGGCATCGCCGCTAAACGCTTGTGGAGGTGGTCTTTGTGACGGCGGAGGAGGATGGAACGGAAGGATCGGATGCAATCTGGGGGGAGGATGTGACAACGGTGGTTGTTGAGGAATCGCAGACCGTCCTGTTGACTCTGCTCCATTCACATAGCAAGGGTTCTCATGGCCGGAATCTCTTTCAGGGCTCTGTCATGGGTCAGCCAAAGTTTCAATTTTGTGTAAATGAAGAATACTCACATCTGAGTGGAATACCGCTTCTCCTGGCTCACCAAAGATAAAAGGCTTTGTAGAATCTACCGGGCCAACAACTGGTGTAGCCACTCCTTCACTGTTACAGCTCTCCCCAGAACTTCCAAACGATTGCCTGTGCTCTCTGCGTTCCCTTTGCTCCCGCGGGTTGGCAATATATCGTGGTGGGGTGGTATCAATTCGCTCGCGCTCCCGTTCTGCCCAAGTGGGGAATGGGTTCATAGGTTGGTGAGGTATATTGCCCCAGCGTTTTGTTTCAATATTACTGATGGATCTACCGTGGCTAGAGCGGACCTGCCCTGGTGCAATACGACGAGTTGGGCCAGGGCGGCCATCCATGTGAGCTCGACCGAAATCGAAGGATGGACGTCGTTCATGGCCAAACGACGAAGGTTGTACGGCAGGCTCAACTGGGCCACCAACCCAGCTCCCCCGATGCAGCCTTGGGGTACCAGGTGGATGGAGCGCTGTCTCCTGCAAAATGTGTGTGATACTGGGGAGCCGGTCCTGAGTCGGGTGTCTTGGCATAGCTGGAGGGTAGGAAGCCTCGTTATTAGACAAACAAGTCCGTGCCAGACTGTTTGTAGCAGGAGTAATGTTTTCGGGCGCAAGAGGCGTTTGATAGGCTGGTGGGCTACCAATGTGCCAAGTCTTCCTCCGGTCATCGAGAGGCCCAATGGAGTCTCGCCGCGCGCCTCCCATCTGTTCATGAGTTGGGGCAGGAGCCATTGGGATGGGCAAAGTGCGGTTCTCCAGAGGATTAAGCAACGAAGGTGAAGGTGGTACTGGCATTGAAAGCCGGCGGGCATGCATTGCGGTTCCAGGTGGAGGGTATGTAGATAAGTGGAGCGAATTTCGAGCAGAGCTATTTGGCGTTCCAAACGGACTTTCCAACTGGCTACCAGGACGTGTAGGCGTTGGGGTTGCGATAGGTGAAGCGGTTTGGTGGATTTGAGGGTACGGAGCTGGCCGATGTCGATATGCGCCACCGCTACGTAAGTACGACGACGATGAAACGATCGATGACGGAGAATCCGGTGGAGTGTGGTGTCGATACTGGCTAAAGTTAGGTGCACCGGGAACAACGTGCTGGGGAAGTACAAGGGGATCTGGCCGTCTGCGGGAACCTGGGCGATCGGATGCAGGGGATCCCAATGCTGGTATGATTGGTACTGGCTGAATCTTTTGACCTGCCGGTTCCGGAGCAATTACTTCGCTCAGGCTGTGTGTCCTTGATCGAGAGGGCTCACGAACAGATTCTGTCCGTACGTGACGCTGATAGCGGGTCCCACTTGCCGCCAACGAAGTATCGGGTATTTCTTCATCCGCATGCACAGTAGAAGAGTGCTGGCGCAAATTATCGAGTCTCGAAAACCATCGTCCACAGTGACACATGAACGGCCGCTCTCCTGTATGTTTCCTATGATAGTGTTAGCCAGGCCTGCGAGTGGAGTTACGAACTTGGTTTGGATGTGAAAGAGACATACCGAATGTGCCGTGCCAGGTGCTCGCTCCTGGTGAAGGACAGATTGCAGTTTCCAAAGCCTTTGCAGTGGAATTTGGTTCCCTTCTTCTTCTTGACCTTTCCAGAGCTGGCGCTCTTGGTCCCACGGCTGGACTTGTCCTTTCCTCCTTCGCTGCTGTCGGCGTTGCTGAGTGCCTTATCCGCCTCGCCGTCCACCGTATTGCCTGACCCATCCGACGCCTGGGAGACAACCACGTTGGACTGCATGGAGTTAGACGAAGCGTTCTCGGGTATCCTGGGGAAGGTGAACTGGGCCATTGCCATGTCGTGCTTTAACGTTACTGGCGGGCTTCGTTGGGCTGTGGCGGCGGAAGCGGCCTGTGGTGGTTGCGGAACCGAAGCGACCTCCATGGTGTTGACGGCACGAAAGGCTGGCGTCGGTGGTCGATGGTGGCTATCGGCCATGAAGGTGGCGAGGCTCGCAAGAGCTGGGAGGCGGCGGCTGGGAGACGGAGGAGATTATGAAGCGGAGGAGCGGATGTTGGTGGAAGGATGCAGCGAGCCCGCCCAGGTCAATGGCTTGCGGCCTCGCAGCAAGGTCGGCAGCAGGATCAGCGCTGCAGCGGCGGAAGGCGCCAGGAGAAGCGAGGAGACTGGGGTTGCGTGGGAGGGGGGCAGGGAGGGTTGATTGAGGAGGAGCACGGTCGGCGGGCGGTGGGTGAAGGTGGGACGACCGGTTGGCGGAGCGGGGGGGTGGCGAGGAGGAGGAGAGGAGGTGGTGGTGGTGGTGGCCGCGAGCGAGGGACAAGGAAGAAGAAGAGGAGGAGGGTCCAGGAAGAGCCGTCGAGCAGGTTGCTTGTGGAAGCACGGTGAGGAGACAAGGCTCAGTGGTGCGGTGCGAGGACACTGGGGGCGGCTTGGATGATGCGTATTGGGGGTGGGTGGGCGTGCGTGTGAGTGGTGGGTGTTTTGTGTGGTGTGGTGAGAGGTGTGTGTCTGGGGTGGTTGCCAGCGAAAAAGATGGGTTGAGGGAGGGGTGAGAGCGGGGGTGGGTCTTTGGAACTGTTGCAGGCACCCACAGCCGTTGGGGGGGAGCGAGAAGAGAAATCGTGGAGTACTGGTAACTGTCGAGGGGAGAGTGGAGTGGGGAGGCGGAGGGCGAGCAGACAGAGCGTGCGATGGAGTGTCTGTGGGGTTTGTATGTACCTAGCCGCGGAGCACCGTGTTTCAACGGTTCGCGGGGAGGGGAGGAAGAGTGGGGAAGGAGGAGGAGATGGGGGAGAGTGGTGTAGAGGGAAAGGAAAAGGGAGAGGGAGGGAGAGGGAGAGGGAGAGGGAGAGGGAGGGAGGCAACTGGCGACCTGATGCGCAAGTTCGTTGACGTTTTCTGTTCCTGGCTCAGCGAGGCGACCTAAAGGAATAACAGACGAAGAAGAGCAGCCCTTCTCACAGCCTTCATGAATACCTCCTAAGGTACTGGATATGCTCGAGTTGGTGAGTGCCTTTGACCCCTCGCCTCCTCCCTGCTGTGTTCCGCCAGTTCTGAGTCTGTCGGTGCCTTACAAAGTCTACACGCTGGCTGTTCATCCCGTTTTCCCACACTGCCTCCCACCCTCCAGTGTCACGAATGAGTAAACACAACCTGAGACTGCTGACGGAATATCGCACACTCTCAACCCCTCTTCCCCCCTCACATCCCACCCCACCACCACCACACTCCCCTCTCCCGCGAAAAGTTCAAACCTGTTAGAGCTAGAGCTAGTGCAGCACAGGCATGATGATGGCGGCGGTTTTGATGGTGCCTGACTGATACGTGCAGCGACCTGCAGCTTCTCGTGATGATGATGATGATGATGATGATGATGATGGCGGAGTCAGTGCTTGCGCTGTTGCTTTGCTGCTCTGTGCCCCCGACACTTTGACTGCGAACTGGTATGTACCCAGGTACCTACCGTATATACTTTATGTACCTTCCTCCCCCACGAATCGGCTTGAGCTGCTCTTGCCTGACTACCTACACTACCAGTACACTGACCACAGCTTATTGCGCACGTGCAAGGCAACGTTCATCTATGG